TGGCGGCGCCGCCGCGCCTTCTCCCACAACGCCCCGCGCGCCCTTCTTTCTCGAACCCCCCTCCTCCTCCTCCGCGCTGCCTATGACGTCATCCGCGCTCGTAACGGCCGCGCGCGCCCAACGGCTGCTGCGCGGGGCGGGCGSTGAGGGAGGGAGCGCGAGGGCAGAGGTGCGAGGCGCTGGGGCCGCGCTCGGGCACCTCGTGTGTGCGGGAAGGGTGCAGCTGGGCCGAGCACAACGCTTGAGCAGCACTCCAAGCCTCCAAGGCTTAGTGTTGCCCAGCACGGTGGGCCCTTGCCGTGGTTACGGTCGCACAGCCACTGGAAAGAGGTTTAGGGACCTGCAAAGAGGTTACAGGAGGAAACACAAAGTCCCTGTTGCCTCTCAAGCACCTCGGGAGCACACACGCGTTATAGGGTCTGCATCACACCATTACATCTCAGTTGCTGTACCGTTCACACCACAGCAGGAGCTGAAGGACAAGTGCTGTGAAGGCTGCGTTTCTTCCCAGGTTGATGTACTTCCACACCTTCATCTTACATGCATGTTAAATGTAGTGAGAGATCCCTAGTTATATAAGTTTATAAAACAAAAACCAAAAGTTTCACCACAACTCTCAGTGATACTGCAACTATTTCCTTGCAACCTCCTGTTTCTCTGAAGAAGAAACTGGTCAGGAGGCTTTCCTCCCACCACATACCTCTGTTGGGTAGAAGTTGATCCTAGAAATGAAGGCAAATTGAAGAAAATAGGGTTTGGGATGAACGATACTAAAGGTACTGTCAAATACAGCACAAGAGTAAAATCGCATTAGGAATCATCAGAACAGTGACAACTTCATGAAAGAGTGAAGTCTAGACAGGGTATTATGGTGCTTTATTGTCTGAGCACCAATATGCAACTCCGACAGGAGGTACAGGTATGAATCATAAACATGGAACCATGTAGAGGTATATTGTTAAATTATAACATGTCATCAAAGTGGTACACAAATACACATAAAAAGCTCAGCTTACATGTACTTGCCTTCACATGTGACACTGAACAAACCCACTAAGTGGCAGAACAAGAGGAAACAGGAAGACAGGAAAAGGAATCAAAGAGGTAGAACAGGAAGAGAAAGTCATAGATGCCCAAGAGAAACAAAATAAAGTTAGGAGAAAGTGGACTGTCTACTGACTGCAATCAGATAGTTACCGGGGGATCTGTGAAGCCGAGGGAACTGAAGGATTCTTCCAGAATAGTGCTGATCCACATCTTAGAGATGTGGATTTCTAGCAAAAACAGTTGTGATAATTAATACTTCAGAGTTGCAGGTTTTGTGTTTCCCATCTCTATTTAAAAGCACATTCCTCTGACAATTTTATGTTAATGGTTTGTCATTATAGGGTACTTTTGACAGGAAAGTCAGGGAACAGGTCAGGCTAACCATGTGTAATAATACGTGATTGTACAGTAATGTGAAAGGGGAAAAAAAGGAAAGAATTTAAAGGCATTCCTTTATACAAACTACATTTTAAAAATAAGAGTTATGCCTATGGGTAACTATGGGTGCACAAGTTCAGCATTTTCATGAATATGCAAGAGATTTAATTAAAAATAGAACATGTCCTACTTACATAATTATGCAAGGGAACTGATTCAAAGGAACCACTCCTGTCTTTTAAATAAACAATATTCATTGCTTTCTTCCTATCACACATTAGCTTTAAAAGATTTCCTGTAATTAGTTGCTTACCCCAGGGATCTCTGAGCATCCTTATGCAAAGCAACTACTCCAGTTATGACCCTGATTCATAACATGCTGCCTAATGACGAATGCTTGCGATTTCTTGCATAAGCATCATACACTATAAGCTCCCTGGCGCAGGAAGGTTGATTAGCTCAATGAACCAAAGYGTAGGATTACTCCCTTCTGTTTATGGCAAGTAGTAGATGAGCCGAGGCAAAAGACACTCCGTGACTGTCGCTTCTTCCTCAAGCTTCTGCTCGATTGCAAATACCACAGGAGTTTCTCCTCAACTGGATCTTGTTTTTCCTGTCCCATCTACATAGGAATTATACAAGTTCCTCCAGCAGTAAAACTGTATTATTGCCCATATTTCCATCTCCTCTTAGGGAACTAGTTAGGTACTCTGCTTTTAGGTTGAAGTGATCCAGACATGCTGTCTCTAGAATAAGCTTTATCTGCCACAAACAAAGTCACTGTGGTTTTCTGCAGACATCTCAGTGGATATTTAACCCTCCAAACATGTTATTTACGCTGCCAGATTTTTTTCCTCTCCTCCCCATACCCATTTCCTTCCTCTCCCAAAAGGAGGCTTGTAATTCCCAGTGGAAGGAAAAAAATGCAACCTTTTAGGCTAGTGCTTCACAAACCTCTTAATGTTTTGAGGCACAACAGTGTAAAAAATACAGCAAGCTCCAAGTTCAGTTTGACTGACATCCACAGTCAAAGCAAGCCTTTATAGACAGGTTCACTAAATTTACTTAATGCAAAAAGTGTGGGATGTTTTATTTTACCATTGTCATTCCAAAAGTTAATTTTAGATTTAGAGCACCTTCCCTCCTCGAAGGGAGAGACAAAAGTGTTTTAAATCTAATCTAAAGTCTCATCCTAAGTCTGTAAAATCCATGTTTTCATTTTATAAATATGGGTTATCATAAAGCACTAAATTAGAATACATTCAACCACTGCTAAAATACTATGTAAAACTATACCGACAATAATAAATATTGAAATAAGTATTGCCAGATTCAGCAACCTGTTTTTCCTTAATCATGATCATTTGGCAATTGCATAGTTCATAGAAAAAAATCTCATATGGAAAAAAAACAAAAAACAGTGGTTAAGAGTGTCAAGTATGTAATTCCAGACAGTTTTAGTCTAAATAATGCATGGAGAATTACCTCGTTATCATGGGGTTTGGACACTTTGCAGTAAAAGAAATGTATTTTGACATAATTTATTATTAGATGCCAAGTACTTGACAGTAGGGAACCGACTGCTGAACACAGCATACAGCACTAAGTAAAGCGAACGCTGCTCACGATCCCGCTCCCCAAGTTGATAAGCCTCATTTACCTACAGGTGAATTCTCCTTTTTCGGAGCCACAAGGATGTCTAAAAAACCTATAACAAATGAAAGCCGGTGTGCTTTTCCCTGCCCTTTTCTATCCACAGTTAAATAACAAGCAAGTAAAGCATGCACATTGTAACAGATCATTTCATTGCTTAATTTCTGTTCCTTTTTTTAAGCAGAGTAGGATGCTTATTGTGGACATTAACATTTTGCTACCAAATACCAATAACTCTCATCATTTCATAGCTATTATATAGCAATGCTATTATGAAAATCCAAAGGAYGCGGAAAGACTTGAGAAACACTTTCAATTAGCTTTAAAACATTTCTATCATAAAAACAGACAAAAATCTTCAGCTATTTGAGTTAAAGCAACCAGAGGAAGGCAAAAAACTTCTAGATAATTTGCTTGTCAATATTATTATATAAACATAGAGAAAAGAATTTCAGCAATATATTTCTATGTCCTAATTTCCCCTGTGATGTTCAAAGTATTAAATGGGCACAGATTTCTTGAGAATTGTGGCCTGGGCCAAGCCATAATATTCTATGCTGTATGAATACACAGTGCCACTTTTGTCCAAGATATTTTAAACATCAGAATTTCCATCAGTTTAGTTTCCCTCAGAAGCTCTGCATTACCAGCCCTCAGAYGTGCATGCCCACGCTCCATACCCAAGGATAAGGTCCCCACTCCAAGGGGTTGCTCATCTTTCTTCACATGTATTTCACACCAGCAATTTCTGTTCTTGTGGTCGTTCTGCTTCTGCCATACCCACCATTTAATTCAAAGGCGAAGAAGCTTTCTTCCTTGTCTGCCCCCATGATCTGCAGTCAACACCACTTTTGTTAAACTACCCACCAGCATCTTCCCATCGTAGAGAGTATTTCTCCTCCCCATAAATTCTGCACAACTTTGAGTGCTTAAACATCAAGAAACACACTCCAGTGTGACCTCCCCCCTTCTCCTCCTCTACCTTCTCCCTTTTCAGTGAGCTTATCCTCTCTTCTGGGTTGCAGTTGCACATTCAACATTACGACAACGAGGAGTCATTGCTTAGGAGTCACAGATGACATTTACTTTTCTCTCCACTTACCACAGTCACTGAACCATTACAGACATTATCCTAAAGCCTTTATATGAAATCAACATTATCCCCCAATTGGAGGAACATCCTGTTAATCTTAGGTGTTACTAGAGCAAGAACATTGCCTGCATAATACAGTACTTCAAAGTACCTGCATTATTACTACTTATATTCTCCCCTTCCCATCCCCTTCATTAAACACCAGGTGTTTGTCACCTATACAGCTTCTCAGCACTCTGCTGGGGAGGTTTGCTAACTCATCAGGCTTTGCTGCCACATTACTTGCAATGAGATCAGGTAAGGCTCTTACTTTGATAACAGTGGTAATGACTATAGGGATTACTGCATGAGGAAAGAGGATTTGCATTAGATGCTTTTTTTTTTCTCATGAAATTTTCCAGTTTTACTACAAAAATTGCTTTTCCTCTAGTCTTTCAAAAATGCAATGCTAGATTTTGATTTCACTTACACACCAGTGTAAACTTGGATAATTTCATTACTAAGATAATTTCATTACTCTT